TATAAGGTATGACAGAGAAAAGTCGGACGAACTTAAAAGAGATTTCGTGTTTGAAAGGAAAAGAATCAAAATTTATGGTTATAAGTATAAGATAGTAATGAACGTTTTTCGAGTAATGGTAGGTAGTAGGACTTTCTAGGGTTATAACAATGGTGGAAAGGTAACTTTGGGAAAGAACGATATAAGTCTTTTCTACTTTTCTCTCTCTCTCTCTTTCTTTTGGTTGATGTACGATCTTGGACAAAAGTCTGGTTGGAATTTCACGAGGAGAAGAATAGTTACAACTGCTTTCCTTTTACCAAAGCTATGAGTTTTCCGGTTCGTGGGAAAGCTACTACATCTCAAAAAGTTTGATTACCCCTATCGCACAGTTACTAACCTTACCAACCTTTTACGTACTAGATATATATAAACGTATATATATAAACACACACACAATATCCTTTAAAAGAAATCACGAGTTTCGAGAAATATATATATAAGCGTAACGACTTTTACAAAATATTAAAAAACGAGATTAATAAGAAATGGAAATATTCTACCTCGTTGTATTTAAAAGTTGGCAAAAATTTCATAAATAACGCTATGCGATATCTCTTTTATAAAAATGAAGAAAAGAACGAACAAAATTTAGCTCCGGTTATTCGTAATTACATTAAATGTCTGACAAATTTTAATTATAAATATGAAAGCGGTAGGATTAAATGGGGGAAGAAAAAAAATAAAAATTCTCTTATTCTTTCTCTTTTTGTTTCTCTTTGAAAATAAAGAAGGATAGAAAAAAGTTTGGAAGAAAAGTGCGTGAAAACTAATTATCTGTTCGTCGCGGTTGGCTGCATAAGTAATTTAACGCTCAAGACTTTTCGAACTTCTCGTCTTCGCGTCATTAAATCGTTTTCCATTGAGAGAAAGAAAGAAAAGAGAAAGAAAAAAAGAAAGTAGAAGTAGAAGAAGAAGAAGAAGTAGAAGAAGAAGAAGTAGAAGATAAAAAGAAAATAAATGAGGTTTGGTAGAATACTCGTCGATGTAAAACTGAAGGCAAGTGTAACCATACCGTTTTGCAGGAAAGAACCGTCAACGTTACTTACTTTTTCAACCGAGACGAGAGTTTGGCTAAATGGATAATGTTACTTTTGCTGGGTTCGTAAAGAGAGTTAGCGCGTCTACCTTTTTTCTTTTTCTTTCTCTTTCTTTTTACCCCACCCCTTCTCCACCCAGTAGTGGGTAGCAGTACCAACCATCCATCCAACCATCTATTTTTTTATCCTACGACTCTTAAGTTCATCGAAAAATTCCAAAGAAAATTTTCCTACATTCTTTTCTTTTCTATTTTCTTACTCTATTTTCTATTCTTCATTTTATTTTCCAGGATGTTTTGATGTAATTGTAATTCATTTTTAGACGTAAAATCAATTATCATTCATTGAAAAATTCAAATGAATTAAATTTGAATGAACTGAATTTTGAATTGAAATTTGAATGAATTATCTAAACTTTAGTTTTTACTTTAAAGTTTTTTCAATCTATTTCTTTAATCCTTTTTTGTGTAAAATCTTTTTAAAAAATTAAAAATAATTATTCTCAAACAGCTTGCATATTTTACAATTATTTTCTATTTAATTATCGTGTAAGGTCGTATAATCAAAATGATCATTATCATCTAAATGCTTTTAAATGTACGTGTATAAATTGATAAGCATATAAAATAGCTATACACACACACTCTCTCTCTTTCTCTCTAATAATTACATTTTGTATACCACATAAATTTAACTTAATTACTTTCCACTTGGTTATTAGCTTTTAAATCGTTCCTAATTAATTTTCTTGTTAAGCTAATGTTAATCTTATTTATCCGATGACTTATTACTTTTGAATATTTTAAATGTTACAATCTTCCACTCCAATAAATAATACAATTAATCATCTTCTTCTTCTCGTTTTAAAAAAAATCAGAATTAAAAAGAAAAACAAGAAGAAAAATATTCAAACAACTTTAAAACACTCGTAACATTCATTTAAATCATATTTTTGAATATAAAAATATCTGTAAAAGTGAGTATGTGTTGTATGAATTATAGTATAAAAAGAAAAAGAGAACTTTTTTTTCTTTTAAAAATGGTAGAGTATAATTTTCTAACTGACTGTATATCTCGCAAGAACATTCGTAGAAAATGGACCTCGAACGTAGCACGAAAAATATTTTCATCCTCCGAGATAATTTACACGAGGGAATTTTACTGGTAGTACACAAGTATTTCTGTGTGTATATGTGGGAGGGTATAAAGAAAGATAAAAAAGTACAATTGCGTATCGTTGCAATTGGTCTCTTTCTCTTTTTCTTTCACTCGACTTTAAACGGTACTACGAATATAATAAAAATGAAAATATTTTATCAAGTATGAAGAGAAAACGAGAATGATGACAAGTAGTCAATTGGTCTCTCTCATATATTGCACGTGATTGCACGTGTTTGATCATTTGTATGGAAAGAGATAAATGAAGGTAGACGTGGATCGATGAACGATGGTTACGCGATAAACCATGTACGAATTTATTCTCACTTTGTTGTAGGGTATGCACGATGCACACGATGTGCATCAACTTATACATGTTTTTCAATTGACTTTGTTGTAATTTTTCTTCCTGTCTTTTTACGATACTCACTGTGATAATATATATATATATAGTAAAAGAAAAAGAAAATTCGATGAATGATAAAAAAGAATGAAAAGATACGGACAAAAAGATGAAAATTAAATATCGATCTGTAGAATATCTTAAAAGAGAGGAACGATAAATAAATAAGATTATAATATAAAAGGTTAAAGAAAAGTAATGAGAAAATAGAGAGTGCACGTGTGTACGATAGTACAAGGAGTGACAAATAAAAGGAACTTGCAAGAAGGTCTTACGTGTGCGTCTTACGAGAAACTCGAGTTTCTTAAATTAAACGTCAATCTAGTGGGACGTAAAGTGAGTCGGTAAAAGGGCGAAAGAGAGAGAGAGAGGAAACAGCGAAGAAAGACGGAATATAAAAAAAGAAGACAGGAATGGCAGGGAAAAATAGAAAAAAAAAAAAAGGAAAAGAAAAAAGAGAGAGACAAAGAATGAAACAAAAAAGGGTAGAGATTCGCTTTTTGAAAGGATAAAATTTTCTTGATCACTCTTTCTCTCTCTTATTTTGCAATTGATGGATTTTCTTCAATGAAAAGACAAGCAACAAGCATTTTACCTTTGACAGTTCGTCAAAAATTTCAGCAAAGAGTTTACTCGTTCATCGTCCCGTTCTACTTTGCAATCGTATAACCGGAGATTGGAAAATACTTTGCCATGAGCATCGTCATTGCTACAGAATGAGTAAGAGAGAGAGTTCTCTCCAGACGTGGGATTTATGGAAGAAAGCTATTAAATTTATTACGCACGATTGGGCTCAACGAGAGATTATGATCGTGGAAGATCGAGGGTCGACCGATTGAATAATGAAATAATTTTCGATCGTCGTTGTCGTTACGATCGAGGGTGTAACGAATTGCGATACCTCGATGTAACTCGATGGTTCTATAATCGCGGGAGCTTACCCACACACACAAACCCACCTTCCCCCTCCTTATACATCAACTTTTCGTCTTATAATTCTAGCGTTTACGAATGAATATTAATTTTGACCTTTTGCCAAGGTCAATCGAATCAATACGATTTTATCTGTGTCATATCATTTACGTAGTTTCTATTACGAATTTTCGTCTTATTAAATCAAATGTTATCTGGATGATATTGTTAACACGAGATAATTTTATTTATTTGCATATCTTATTGAATATATTCATTACTTTTCGGATAGTAATATAATTTACAAAATTAGTAATAATTGATAATAAATTATTATAGTTATCATTGAATATTCATTTTTGGCTTAAAAGTATTTTGTTCTTAATTATATACATATTATTTAATATTTTTATAACATTTATATTTAGTAAGGATAATTTATAGATTTCAAATATTATTAAATAACTATAATTATAATTATAGATCTCTAAACAAACGGGTTGTCGTTAAAATAAAAAATAATGATAACATCATTAATGAGATTCTTGCAAATCATTTTAAAAAATAAAATATTCTTTCTCTCTCTTCCGAAAAAATAATATAGAAAAAAGACATTTGATAGTCGTTCTAAAAAAACATTTGTTTCTCCCACCAAGTGAAAAATCGTATAGAGAAAAGGAAAAATGATTCGTGGTTGTTGAGTTTTTATCAAAACAAAAGGTTTTCCGAAGAAAGATCTAACGTTGAATTTACATGAAGACAATGGCTTTCAAACAATGGCAGATATCTTCGTTAAATTCTTTCGAAACTTTGCATCGTAAAAGAAGAATTCGACGTTAGAATCGTGGAAAATTTAAATGCAATGAATTATTATCTTTCCACAACTCTTTTTTCCTTTTTCTTTCTTGTCCTATATGGATGAGAATACTCAACAATTTTTCCATGACATACGAAATATATTTCTTCTAATGTTGAACAAAGAACCACATGGCCCATATCTGAAACATGTTCGGCTCTGTTTATCGTCTTACAAATGGGCACATGCATATGCATGCATGTATATGTGTATGTAAATAAAATTATTTGCTAAAGAAAATAGGATTAGGTTTAGGTACTATCGAGAAATGTAATTCTTTGAATTAAATAAAAAATGATTTAATGTGTATAAGCTTGATAAGAATCCAAAGTTTTATTGGCACTCGCCTAATTTGCTAAATGTCTTGGAAGATATCGTGACATTTTAGAGAACTATTGGAATAATCTAAATTCGAATAGTCTCAGTCGTGCATGATCACGACCGTTTTTCTATATAAATTAATTTTAAAAGTCAAATAATTTTCTCTTTATCCCAACAGGTGTGATTTTCTCTTTTCCTAATTCTGTTTCCATTCGTAATGTAATTGAGCAAATGGCTATTTGATAGAGCGAATGAAAAATTGTGTTTACAGAGGACAAGTACCAATCTCTGGGGCGAATGGATGGGCGTGATGCACGGGGATGAGATCGAATACGTATTTGGAAATCCTTTGAATATGTCCTTGAAGTATAGCGAAAACGAGAGGGACCTTTCCGTTAGAATGATCAAGGTTTTCTCCCAATTCGCAACCGACGGGTAAGTGGACTTTTTAAATTTCCATATCTATTTATCGTTGGAGTTCAAAATCTTATCTCCCTTTAGGAAAATATAAAAAAGAAAAGGTACTTTAATAAAAATATGGCAAACGATTTCATTACATTTCTTCTTCCATCCGACGATTCAAATTTTCCGTTTTATCTTTTAACGAGATTATAAAATTATAATCCATAAGAGATTCAAAATATTTAAATAAACATAAATAAATTTCTCGAAAAAGTTCTTCGTTTTATATTTGAATTGAAAAATAAAACTAGAATTTTCAAAGAGATCAAAAATGTAGAAAACAAACAAGGATAATTGTGCTTGTTGTTCAACAACATGAACTTAAATTCTCCCAAGCCCGTATTTAATTTCCTAACAAACAACGTGACCGAATATAGATGGAGAAAGGGTATTCCAACAATTCACAGGACTAACTCGTGCACTACGAATTAATCGAAACTTCGAGGTTTATCGCGCAACTCAATTGATTAAAGGAATTTCTATTGTCCGAAATATAAATTGGTAAATAAATTTCATTCGGGTTGGTATACTTTTTTAATAAATTTCATATAAAACAAGTATATGGAAATAGTAGTGGGTATATACGTGGAATAAACCAAATTTGGAAGACAAAATAAAGGAGTAGATTCGCAGGATGCTTCAAAATAAGTTGACGTAATTTAAAGGATAGTTTCAGTACGATAAAATAAGAAACAAAAAAGTTCCTACAACTATTAAAATTGCAGGAGTTATTGGACGACAAAAAAAATGGCTACAATTCGATCATATCGGGTATCTGAACATTTTTTATTTTATTTCAGTGTACTGAAACCATCCATGAAGTTATGCTCATATATTTTGAAACACTCTATACATACATAAATCTTTTACAATCGAGCCAAAAGTAGAATAGCAATGAAACATTCCAGGTCGAACAGTGAAAAGAGCGAAGCTAGGAATATGGCAAGAATTTTATTGGGATGTAAGTTTATTATGACCCATCTTACGATCCCATAAGAGATTCAACCATCCAAATAATATCGTTCTCTTTTTATTTTTCTTATCATTTCGATTTTCTCTTTCCCAATTTGTAAACATTTCCCAATTGTAAACATTTCGTTAGACTAATTGACAATATAAGTTTCTTGGTTTCACTAAAAGGAATGTTAAACGTGCTAGAAGTGCAAATATCTATTGAAATATTTAATTACCTTGTGGTAAGATAGTTACTTTGATACAAACTTTGTGAAAGATACGCTTCAAATATACCCATGCACGTGAGAGTGTGTGTGTGCCATACATTCGTATATATCATACGTATACAGATACATAGAGGGTGTAACAAAAGTAAGCGATGAAACTTCAGGAATGAATATTTCATACGTTCAGAAGAAAAATATGTTAGAACGTGGAATTGGGAAATGAAGCATTTCTGACTTATCAAACTTTCATGCATTATCTTATTATTAGTATACTCCAAATATGTTTATTTTATTTTACTTCAATTGAATCTGAGACACATTATGTTTAAATATGAAACCATGCGTTGTTGAATTTTGTATTTTGCATAATATATTTAACACTCACAAGTGGTATTACCCTATTTAAATTTTCAGCAAGTGTTTCATGTTTTCTAGTAAATAATAAACATAATTGGATTGCAAATGAAAAATATTTATGTATATATTAATATTTTTTATTATATTTAAAAAATTTGATGTTCATTTTTGTTATACCCTATATACGTAAATAAATTGTTACGTGTGGTATCAGTAACGAATCCTAACTTCGAATGGTTTACTTCGTCGAAAGCTTATCCACGATACTGTTCCGAAATAGAAGCTTTAAAGGATTACGATTCTAGCAATGTCCTGTTACCCTGCATCAGAATTAACTGTGTCCAGTCACTAACAGAGTGATACTACGTGTTACTACGAAGCAAGCACCAACGATAAGTTCTCGTTGTGAGATTTCGTGAAAATGAATCGTCCCGTCGGAACTTTGTATTTGCCAAACGAACATTGTCCTGTGATTGTAAGTTTATTTTAATTAATTACTACAAGGACAATAATTATTCAAGTATTAATATTTTTGTTACGTTAGTTGTACTGCTAGATTTTCATGAATTAATATTTGTGCATTAGTAATTGTTTTAATATTCTTTTACAAATTTTTGATGAATTTAAGCATACATTTTTATGCAATATTTTACGTATTCAAAAAACATTCAAAACTATACAACTGTATTGAAAGGAAAATCGCAAATACTAAAACACTTGACAGTAAACAAACATAAAATTATAAATACATAATTATTGACTGACCCTAATTTATTTGATTCTTAAAATACTTGTCTTGGATATTAAATCACGAAAATGATACTCTCGAGAATACTATAAGAAATAATAATAAATAAAGCCGATTTAAATGAACGTTTAACTTTGACATTAGACAGAACGTTAGCGATTAGTTGCACGCAAAGAAACGATAAACTAAATTATCAATCTTACTTAGACTGAAATAATAATCTTCTTCGAAAAGACACATTATCAAGACCGTCCTGTATAATTTCAATGAAAAATGATCTACCACTTTTGACACAATAATTTTAATCGATAATTCATACAATTGATTACATACCTTTATGCACACGAATTCACTTACGTACGCACGCATTGACTTTTTCATTATCAAACCAGTAATTTTTGTTGAATGAAAGAAGATATATATTTTTTTTCCTACTTCTTGCTTTTCATCGATCGACGCGTTATTTATCTCATAATGTAGGATGATTAATGACGGGAGCGAACGGCGAGACGAATGAAAAAAAAAAAAAAGAGAAATTGAATAAGGAGTCTACGAGAGACATGTGATTCAAATGAGAATCTCTCCGAAGTCAAGAAAAATAACCTTTCTTCGAGGAATATTTAAATATAAATAACCGTACATACATCAAATCTAATAAAATCTGATAAACTAAAAAAATATAAAAAACTATAATTATAAAGTACATTATATAATTACAATATTATATTATATAATATATTATTCATTTGATAAAATAAAATCAATGAAAAATTACACAAACTAATGTGATCGTTAATAGAATAAATAATATTTTCCAATTAATAAAATCTACCAATAGATTTGCGCGTCAGAAACCGAGGAATCGGTCTTCTAAGAAATCCGTTTGGAAATAATCTATCAAGTTGAAAAATAGAAATAAATGATTAGTTTCTCTGGTAACGAGCATCGAGCAAGGAAAGAACGAAATTATTTTTCGAGTATAATCGAACCTATAAATGTTTTTTCTCTTCCTTTCCCAATATATTCGAACACATACACACGTATACGTATACTGATAGATGAGAGAAACAAACATAGTTCATAGTCGAGATAATCGATACACCAAGAGCCAGTAGAGTTGGAATTTCGTGGCATTCCTCACTCCTGTTTCCCAGTCGCAAGTGTTTACTCTTGAAATTAACCAAAGCTGTCTAAATCGAAGCAAAGCCACGAGGTTCTGATTGCTCTACTGATGAAACCCAACGTTCTCCGTGTTCCCTTTTCGCGAACTGAATACCCATATTCAAGTGTGACGTCTACTAAACGTCCACATTCATAGAAATTGAAAGAGAAACTCATATAGTCTTTGGATTCTTCCAATGAAAAGCTTATTATCTCTGAAGAAAAGCAATTTTGCAAGCTACGTATAAATCAGTGGTCTTCAAATTGTATTCCACGAAATTCTGGAGTTCCAAGCAACGTACTTAGGGGCTCAACGAATTATTGTTTCGATGTATGCGGGATGTATACGTGGGTGCGTATGTGGGTGAAATAAGCAGATCGACAGTTTAAACAGTACTATAGAAGATCATGGGTATAATTAGTTATATGCATAGGTGTGTAAGATAAATCAATCGACAATTGAAAGAAAAGTATCATCAAATATTTTTTACACTAATACAAATTTCGTGAACGGAAAAAGTTTGAAGACTACTGATTAGCAATTATCGATGCTAAAATTTGTCTATTTCCATTCGCTGACATAACTGGGATCACTAAGATAATTCCCCAATCTCCGACTGAAGTAGCTTAGTCTTCGACTTTATTGATCCTTATGCTGTGGCACGCACGAACCTTCCCTATCTTAAGCTTTATACACCGAAAGGAGAACCTCTTTGATGCCTTAGAATGTTTATCCCAATCAACTTCCTTCCTCGATAACCATCCTAGCTTCTCGACAATCTGCTTAGTTTCAATTTATAAATGATCAATCTTTTTCTTTATTTTTATCCGTATTTTATAATATGCAAATGAATTTCAAAGAAATTCATTTTGCTGTTTTCTATTTTACTAATACACAGGGTGTTCATAAATTACTCCCCAACAATATTTAAAAATATTAATTTAATGAAAAAGAAAATACTCGAAAATTTTGGAGATCGTACATAACCGAACATTTTCTCATTTGCATATTCGATTAGAACTTATTTCTAAGAAATTTCGAATGTTTTTTTCTTTCTCTATTTTCCTATAATACGCAATATATTCAAAACAATAACGCACAATATTAGGGATATTATTTATTAAATAAAGTTTGACAAATGACTGTAAATAACACGAGCACTCGTGTTTTCTTGTTTTTTTAAATTCAAATCAAACAAGTGAAATTGAACAAAACGATTCGGAATAAGAGAAAAGTAACAAATATGATATTACGGTATATGAAGTAACAACGGAAAGACTAATATTCGTTGAATTATTTCCATTAGGAAACCAACGGAAGACGAGAAAGTATGGCCGCCATATTCGAGAGATCGACCAGTATATTTCATTTTTAACGCGGAGAAAAAAGGGCTCGGAGAGGGACTGCGCACGACGTCATGCGCCTTTTGGAACGAGTTTCTACCGCGACTCAAAGGAGTACCCGGTATGTATTAAATATATACACTTACACATACGCGTACACATAAAGACATAGAGCAATGCATATACAGAAAGAAAGAAAAAGAGAGAGAGAGAGAGAGAGAGAGAGAGAGAGAGAAAACAGGAGTTTACGTGCCGTTGTCAACACGATGCTCCTTTTATTCAATTTTCTCCTGAACGAAAACTCGTCAAAACCTTTTCGTTCTAAGGACGTTTATTTTATGCTCAAACTGTTCGGTCTTTTCCTTTGTCCATTTCTATGCCGAGAATAAAGGATTAAACGATCCTACTTAATTACCTTAACCCTTGAGAGAGCTTTACAACGTTGCTGCTGCTGCCGCTGCCGCTGTTGTTGTTGTTGTTTCTGCTGCTACTGTTGCTGACATGCTTCTCTCTCCCTCTCTCTCGCACACACAATCTCACACTCTCTCTCGTTTTCTTTCCTTCCTTCTCCCTCTCTCTCTCTCTCTGTCTCTCTCTTTATTTTACTAGCTAGTAAAAACATTTTCAAATCGGTGAACCGAATTAATTAGAGCTCGCGGAGATTCATCAAAATCCGCTACTTCAACAAATTCTTTTTCTATTCTAGATTGCCAAATCGATCATTCTCATTCCTTTTAACGAACCTTAACGAACATTAACGAACTACGATCGATCGATCCTTTTACACCCAAACGACCAAGATTATCCTCCAATTTATTTTTTTTCCTCTCATACCCTTTTTATCAACGTAGTACCTGTTTTCTCGATTAAATCTCTATTTCGTTTTCCTCAGAACAGCCAAGAGAAGCCACCAGAAGCTTCGATAACGATAAACAAAGTATATTTTTTGGTATACACGTTTATGTGTATGTGTGTGTGTGTGAGAGAGAGAGAGAGAGAGAGAGAGAGAGAAAGAGACAAAAAGATATAAAGCATAGTTTCGTTCGACCAAACGGGTAGATCCGTGCAATTTCATATTTTTGTTTAATCGGTACATTTCGAATTATGGAAATCAATTGTTTATTCAACGAAATGAATGTTGACATTTTCTCTTCCTTTCTCTTTCTCTCTCTCTCTCTCTCTCTCTTACTCTCACTCTCCCGCATGCAAAAGAGAGAAACATTTCAAAATATAAATGTAACTTTATAAAGTTTCAAACTTACGATATCCTTTTTCATTATCATTCAGAATTATTTCAAAGCTGTTTAACAATGATCATTAAAGATTAACAAAACAAAAGATTATTAATATTAATTAATAACAAAGCATTGGCTACGCATTTATTTAACCAACCCTTCCATTAACTAACAGTTTTTTCTAATTCCCAAACAACAAACATTAATTGCAAAAGTAATTTTTATAAAATCTTCGATAATTACCCTTATACGAAATATATTACACAATTTTGAAATATTTTATTATTTATTATTATTGTTTTGGATGAAAATAAATTTGTAATAGGAAAAATTGCTTATCGGACGATCCAATTGAAAAAAAACGTTAATTATTACATCGTACGTTTTCCTTCTCTTGCGCAAAAAGAACAAAAAGCGAGAGAAAGAGATGGAAAGCGAAATGGGAATATGCAGTTTTTTTTTTGCTCTTTTTTTACTCTTTAAAATGAGACAGCAAAAGAAAAAGGATAAAGGAATCCGTTCTGTTTTATCTTCGAGAAGAATACGGGACAGGATCTTTGCATTAGCATATTAAAACTCACTTCACCATCATCTCCCTGAAAATCAACCTTTTCTCTCTTTTTTTTCTATTTAACGGGCGATTAAGTAAATATCTTTATGGAAACCCGTTTGAAAATGTTTGACCTTCTTGTTTTTATTATTTTCTAGATCCAGTACCGGAAGCTTGCAACAGCGTGATAGCGTCAAGCGTATCTGCGAGTGGAGCCGATCGACTTATTTATCGAACGAATACACAAAATATTCTACTTTTATCCACGGCCACAGTTACGTCCATTTGGACGATGATACTTTTACGAGTCGCGAACGGCTAACCGATTTTAAGTTTTCTTATCAAACTCTAATCTAGCACACAGAGTTCTCTTACCCTCGATTCCAATTTTTATTTGATCCTCTTTTTCTTTCTTTTTTCTATTTCCTGTCTTTGAATATTTTCTTCCTTCTTTTGTTTTTCTTTTTCTTTTTCTTACTCGAGATCGCTAGCTAAAATAGCCGAGAGTACGAAATTTTACTCGCAAAGGGGGGAAGACCGATGCCGCGTTGTCGCGAAAAATGTTGAGAAAATATCTAAAACGCAAGATAGAATAAAAATGAAAATACAAATGAAAAGAAAAGAAATGGAGATAAGATGAGAAGTAAAACAGAACAAAAGAGAAAAAGAAAAGAAAGGATTTTGTTCACGTCGGCCAAAATCTCTTTCCCCTTTCTCGCGAAAGATTGAAAAGAAGAAAAAATGTGAGAGAAAAAAGACAAAAAAAAATGAAATACCTAAAAAAAGAAAAACTACGAGCTTTTCTCCTTCGCGAGTTCTTCGGTTGACTTAAAAAAAAAAGAAAGAATATCTCCTGTTTTCTTTTTTTGTCTCTGCGCGTGTGCGTATGTGCGATGCGTGTACGTGTGTGTGTATATAAGTGTGATAAAAAATAATGTGCGAAGAGAAAGCCTTTGCGGCCTAGAAGTTAACTTTCGATCGAGCGTTAAAACTATGTCGAGCTTTATGAACTATTACCAAATTAATACCCCCGTAACCACCACCACCGCCACAACCCCCCCTTTCCCCGCACTTAAAACCTACGACCGCGAATTACGCTGCAATATTTCGACGATCCCGGTTGAAAGATTATGAAGATAAACAATAGATTTAAACTATTTCTTCTCAACAAAAATTACATATACATTTTTATTTTTTAGCAAACAAAAAGTTAGATAATAAAACAATTATGCTGTGTGAATTAAAAAAGAAAAAGGTAAAAATTTGTTTCGATAATTACTACTCGACCTCCTTAATTTTATTCTACAGAATTAAAAAATCGTCGTACGATTTCAAAAAAATAATTAAATGAAAGATGAATGAGTCAGTCAATTAAAAAGAGACAGGAAGAGAGAGAGAGAGAGAGAGAGAGAAGGAGATAGGTAATTTCGATCGTCGTCCGTTCTCGATTCGATCATTTAACATATCGAATTAATTAATCGATTATAACTGAAGAACGTGTATGATATTTACATATGTAAATTCACAAAGTCCTATATGAGTTGCATGAATGAATACACTTGTGTAAGTGCGCGTCTGTGTATTTAGCATCGAGAGAAACAGTGAGAAATATATAGAGAGGGGGAGGGGAAGGAAGAGGGACAAGAAAGTTGGTTAACCGCAAATGAATAATACGAAATGCCGAGGTAGAAATCGAATCGTCATTGAAATAATGAAGAAGATAAATAGCTTTGGAAAGTGACAGAAGCTTCGTGGAAGACCGACGTGATGCGATGATCGTCTCGAGTCCTCTGAGAAGAAGAAGAAGTGAAGTGGGTGGAAAAGAGGGAGGAGCAGGAGTAGGTTTATGAGAGGTGGGAGTGAGGGGGGAGGAAGACCGTAATCCGTAATACGACTTGAAGGAAGCCGATAATTTGTTCTAGCAATGCTCTACTGACTTCTTCTTCTTCTTCTTCTTATTCCTCCTCTTCTCCTGTTCATATTACTATTACTATTACTAATACTACTGCAACTGGTACTATTACTAGTATTATTATTATTATTATTACTACTACTGCTACTTTACCATCACCACCTCATCCCGTTTTCATTCCCGTTCTACTCTTTTTGCACCATTTCTTTCTTATTACTTTCGAATACCTCGAGGAATTCTATTCGTCTTCTATCATTTTCTCTCTCTCTCCTTTTTTTTTTATTATTTTTCTTTTGTTTTCTTTTTATCTTACTACTCTCTGTTTTTTTTCTTTTTTGTTTTTCTTTTTTTTTTTGAAAAAAGTTGCTGACGTAAACAGGACATATAACTCTTCGTCCTGGTAGTCTCTTGAAATTGAAGGAATAAGTCAAGAATCGAGGAAATAAGGTAGATAGAGAGACTGAGAGAAGAGAGGGAGGGTCGAAAAGTCGACGGTGAAGGCAAGTTAAGAGCAGATTGCTGTCTTCCTCGAAACTTAAGGATATATTCGGAGTAAATGGCACTTGGTTGCTCCGGATTTTATAAGATGGCAAAGAAGGGGAAAGATAAAAAAGAAAGAAAAAAGTCAGTGAAAGAGACTAAGAGAGTAAAAGGGAGCACCCAAAATCCTCGAGTTTATTCATCGGCCTGGAAACAGTCCTCAATGCTCTTACTCTTATTTACTTTTCTTTTCTGTTTTTTTCATCTTCATTCCTACTCCCTTTCTCTCTCTCTGTCTGTGCATCCATGTTCCTAAAAATTAATCAACGCGTTTTTTTTATACAATACTTCTTTAACAACTCTCCATGTTCTTATATCTCTGACTAATTTTGATTCTTTGACCACTTAGAAACTTGTTGATTTCAACTTCATTTTTATTTGGAAATAAAAGCAAAACGATTGAGCTATAATAAAAGATTTTTATTAATGTTTAAAAGCTTTGCCACACAATTCATTGGATAATTTGCATAATATCATCTCAGAGACAAAAACGATATAGAAATAAAATAGTTATCACTTTTTTACAATCTAATCAATTCCACGAATTTACTCGAGAACGGACGATGAGAAATCGTAGGAAATTAGCAAAGTAAACGAAATCGAAAAGATAATATTGTAAATATTATGAGAAAATATTTCAAAGATTTAATCAATCCTTTCTTTCGATCGATGTGATCGATGGAAAGAAAAACTTTTCCCCCCAACCGCCGTAAAAAAAAAATTTCCACCCTATAAAAATCCATCTCTTTCCCACTTTCCCCTCGTTTCTTATTTTAATTTAACTTTCGATTGAAACGATCCTCCCACGACCCGATTGATACTACGTATACTAATTTTGTTTCTCTACAAAAATTTGTGTGACAAACCAAAAACAAAAAAAAAAGATAAAACAAGAAACGCCTCTTTAGAATTAAACACTAAAACTCACTGCTTTTATTATTCTTCCGTCTAGGATAGGGAAAAACTAAACGTCGATAGATAAGAAAATTCATTTGAGAAAGAAGAGGAGGTTCCTCTCTCTGTTATTAATTTATCAAATATTAATAAATATAAAAATATAAATATAAATATATATAAATATAAATATAAATATAGATATTAATATAACTATAAATAAATTACGTCAGAATATAATAAAAAAAATAAATTTAACAGAGCTTTATATATACCTAATTAAAAAAGTAGGTAAGATGAGGATATAAATATACATGTAAGTGTACATACATATTATATATACAGGATATTTCATAATACATTAACGTAACTTCAAGGGTGGTTTTAATAATAATTCGGAAACAGGATTCATTTTGCGCATAAGATTGTGTGCAATTTTTGTTCTTATTTTTAGCATACTAAACCACCCCACCCCCCTGAAGTAGTGCTAAAGTATCTTTAAATACCCTGTATATTTATATATACGCACACACATATATATATATATATATATATATTTACACACATACACGTAAGTATGATATGTGCGTGAAAATGAATTATCTATCATTGTATCTATCAAATGACATCAGGCAAATGAAACGACATAGGCGTAGGATTTAGATGCTAAGGTGTCGGTGTAATTTTTACGCGTTCTGGTGATTTAGGTCGAAACAGCGATTTTAGATAGAAATAAAGAAGAAGAAAAATGATAGAGAAAGAAAAGAACAAATTCTATAAGTCAAGAGGAACGTGCCGTCGGGCACGTTGTAAAAATTAATTTAAAAAGAATACAAAAAAAAACAAAAAGGAGGGTTAATAATACCTGTAGTTAGAAAAAAAGGGCAAAGAGTTAAAAGTTTGTCGCTAGACAGTCATACATTTTTTGCAAGAAGAATAACACTTTTCTTTCCTTTTTTTTTATTTGTCATAATAACATAAAATTATGATTATTTAAATAACATTTCTTTTTTATTTCCAACTTTTTTACACGGTTCAACGAGTCAATTCAAATCGTTATTCTCAGTATTATTTCTTGTAATATTTTTTTCTAATTAAAAATAAATTCAAAATTGTGAAAATTGTTTCGAAATAATTTGATGTATTTTACAAATGTATGAAAAATTGTCTTCACGTATTATTTTATTTTCTGTTATTTAAAAAATCGATTCGAAATAGCAGAAGTGTCGTTAATTCAAGACGCGATCGTAATTTCCTGAAGGGAAGATAACAATCATTCGTTTTCTCTCTCTCGGAGGGGTTGAAGGTGGTGGAGTTGGAATCAACTTACAATTCATTGCGTAATTCCACGTGGCGTACCACGAAACATTGCTAGAAGATGTAATCACGAAACGAGATACATGCCACGAATTGTACCGTCTCGCGACGAACAAAGCGCATCGAAACGTGAATCTTCCATTTGGTACATATCATCCACATACTTAGAACACGTGTAACACGGTTATATTATACTGAAATACGTATGCATAGTATATGAATAAATATATATATATATATATATAAGTAAAAATATATAAATAAAAAATAGAGAAAAAAGAAGAAGAACGTTAATCGTGTCGTATACGTGTGCATGAATAATAGAGAAAAAAATATAACAAAAACAATGAATAGTTGTAATAATCGGGAGTGCGGCAATTTAAAAGAGAAAAAAAAGAAACGCGTGCGGAACAATTCGAGGCAAGTGATCGGAAGTATTTTAATTAAAAGAAATGAAAGATAAAAATCGTGGTTGGGGTTGGAGCGGGAGGGAGGAATGGGATCGAATATATATTTTCTATAATATCATTGTACGCGGCCAACGAAGGATAGTAAAAAAAGGTTCAAAAAACACAAAATTAAAAGGGCTACGGAATGGTGTTATGGCTGTTTTAATTTTCTTAACGAGTTCGGAGTTATTAAAAGAAATTCGTTTATCGGGTAACGCACGGGAATAAAATAATTTGAATAGTAAAAAAAGGTCGATCGCGAGGATCAAATTTTGCGAGAATCTATTTTGCGTTGCGCGATGATATTGAGATTTATTTAGAAAGAGAAAAAAAAAAAACAGGAAAAGAACAAGGTATTAAATCTAACTCGATCGTATTGATAGTCAATAAAAACCACCGACCAATGTAACGCGTATAATAATCATCGATCTTATTGGCCTATTTAATTACCAAATCCTACCTAATATACATATACGTAAATGTACATATAGAAAAAATAAAATGAAAACCAATTCAATGGTCATACATTCAACAATTTTGATCTAATCTCTGAACTCAACGATTAAGATCATCTAATCGGCGGATAATTGAATTCGTAACGAAAACAATTACGCGCGAAACTCGTAATAAATCTTATATATAAAGATCATCTTAAATACATCTTAATCTATTAGATATTTCGAGTAGATACACGATTATCCTGTAATAAGAGGAAACGTTGGTAGGAACTATCGAAATTTTTTCAAAAGACTTCTCGCAAAAAACGGTTAAACGAGAGAAGGGAGCTACAGTAAACTCGCTTTTGAGGGAATTCCATAGAGTAGGAAAGGGGTAGGTAGGAGGATAGTGAACGGTAGGATATGAGGGTGAACAAGAAGGGTGAGGAGGGGTTGGATCACAAAGGCACGACCTCATTTCCGCCGGCGACATTGTCGATCCGGAAGCGGATGCTCGCGAGTGCTGGCTTTGCCTTGTCTCTTCGAGCTCCTTTACCTGCTCCTATTACACACACACGCTTAAACACATTTATACATATAGACAAATACATGAATACATGTAATATATATACTATATATATATATATATATATATATATATATATAGGAGAGCGAGTAAATCGTAACCATCTAGCGGGTAGCGATCTGCTAAAGTTACAAAGCAACGTAGACTAATTGTACGGAGCTTCAAGCCAAGTGTCTATTAGAAATTAGAGGAAAACAGTTAGGTGTATGTATGTGGATTGAAAGTGAAAGAGAGAGACAGAGAAGATAATGGTTTGGTATTCTAAATTGATCGAAATCAAAAACATATCTTCTTTTTCGTCTTACAAATGATCTTTATTATCGTCATTTTATTACGATGACATATTCGATCAAAATACTTCGCGCGAAGTCGAATAATAATTATTTTTTCTTCCCGTATTATATTACTTTTCTTTTTAAATTTTTGTTTCGTGCGTGCGTTCTTAATCGAAGAGAATAATCCTGTCATTTTGTAGCATTTACTTTCATTTAATGTCGCGACGTAACGTTTAATAAATTCAACAGGTGACACGGTTTCTCTTCCCGTTTCGAGTCGGACTCTTTCGACGAAGATTTCCAATTAAAATTGCTCCTTTCCAGACTAACGTATGTTCGACAGAAATAGAAATGAAATGAAGCTAAAAAAGAAAAATGACAGACAGTTAGACAAATCGATGGACCAAATCGGAATACCTTTCTTTTATAATTTGACTTCGACATGACTACGGAATAATAAAACTCGTGTCCAAATTCGCTGCTCGAAAGTTTAATTAACTCGCCCCTTCAAAAAATTCACGCTTAAAAATAAAAGAAAACATAAATAAAAAGAAAAATCACAGAGAACGGAAAACATTGTAAAACTACAAACAAAAAAAAAAGAGAAACCATTATGCAGATACGTGTGTCCATATAAAAAAAGAAAAAAAAAGAAAAGAAAAATAAGAAAAAAGCTGGAATATATGTATATTAGTGTCGATTAGTTATTCGATTATCTCTTTGAGTGCTGAATACTTTTAACTGAAGTGTTTTGTAGGGACGGAATAGTTTATTATTAATGTGACTGTTTTCGTTGATAGAAATTATTTAACTAGATTCTATAATAATAAATTATAGTTAATAATTAAAGTTTTTCTTTCTTATATATAATTTTTATGTGACAAGACTCAAAACAATAATCAATATA